TCAGGTGTCTCCCATGCTCCCAAGGCTCTGGGATAGCTGAAGCCTCTGCTGGGACTTGTAAGGCCCCTCCTAGTTTTTAGCTGAGGGGTTTCTTCACTCTCTCCATCCCTCCCGTGCCTGCATGGCTCATCCTGGACTCTCTGGCATGGGACCATGAAGTAGGACCGTTTGCTTCCCCCAGACCCAGGGACGTCTGCGGGGCTCAGTTGCGGGCGCTTTCTCCAGCCCGTAGCTTTTCTCCAAGCAAAAGACTCAAACTGGGCAGTCAAAAGTGGTACTGAGGCCTCCTGACAGCAGCACTCCAGCACCGCCTTAGTAACAGCACTCAGATTATAGACACTCAGGCTTTGCCTTGTGAAATAGCCAAGGCGATCCTTGCTGACGTATACAGCAGTGCCTTGGCATGGGCATTGGGAGGATTTCCTCCTGGCATGGGGGCTTCACCGTCAGCACAGCCAAGGCTGCCCCTGGGGTGAGCAAGAGGAAGCTTTAGTACCCATGTAGTGAGGTACATGGTCTGGAGTGTCAGCAGCGCCAAGTTGCCCAAACAAATGTTTCCTAGCCTGAGGTGAGGTTTCCTCCAGTAGCTTGAATGCATATGGATGAGCATGCACGTGTCAGGACTGAAACCCTCAGCATTTTTCTGAGCATACCACATTGCTTCTACCAGCCCCAATCCCATGTGGTACATGGGATCCATGTGGCAGGGAGATGGCAAATACTGTTGATAAAAGTCACCTGTGAGGGTTGATTAAGAACACTTCTTGTGTTTTGAACTTAAATACTGATTGAAAACCAGGAACAGTACTACTAAGGAAAAGCTCAAAGCTGCCTGAATGCCCTTAGATTTCCAGTGGCTTTTTCTGAAGAATTGTATAGACTTTTAAATAGTGCACTGCCCCACTCAGCTAACTTTGCACAGGATAGTTGGGATCCCATACTCTCTTCTCAAGTCCCTGCATTTTTTAATGCCTAATTAGCATTAATATGTGATAATAAGCCTATAAATTGTAAGTGTTCAAGAGATTCAAACTCCTCCGCTCCATGTCCTGAAGGAGGACAAAGAATTGAGCTGAGGACCGTGAGTGGCTTAGAAATAATAGTTGCAGAGAGGCAGCAGTAGTTCAGAATAGTAAATGGTGAGATTTGTGCAAATTTTAAAAGCAGATTGATGACTTTATTCCATTGTTTGATCTAGTCTTTATTTCCTTTCATTCTTTCTTTTCACTTTTTTTTTCTTTTTTTTTAAATTCTAGAAAGCCACCTAAGCCTGTCTGCCTTTGCGTTTGAAAAACTGCTAGTTTTACTGTTTCATTCTTTTTTTCTCTCTGGTATTGTTTCCTTTTCTGCCTGTTTTCATTCAGTGACCATTTCCACTGTGCAAATTCTGGATATTCAAGAGTTTTCAGGGCAAAGCTATTCTTCATTCTTCCTTGTACACTGGGCTTGTTCTCAGTCCAAATATTTGCACTTCATGAAGGCTGAACTTTACTAGGAATAGACATGGTCCTCCTCAAAATTCAAGAAGAAAAATCATACCTAACTGTAGCACTTTTGTCATTTATTACTTGTATTTCAAAGACCTCTGAATTGTTGCTTCCTTGCTTTAAACAACAAACAAAAGTCATTTGAATGACTTTTCTATCTTGGTCCCTCTAGAAGGAAGTAAGATGTTAAATTTTGCCCGCTTAAAAACAAACATGGCCAGTTTCGGTGTCAGTTTATGAATCACAATTTCTCTGAACATGTTTAGCTGTTTTTCCAATCATTCCCGATGCAAACAAAAAATTGGGACAGCCAGCAGGTACTGAGCAGTTTCTATTCCTTTCCCTGAAGTTGCTAAGAAACCACTTTGTGAGGAGCATCACATTTTCCTAGCTGGTCAGCTCCAAAGTGGAATTTTCTCTAGTCCCTGGCTTAAACTCACCAAAGTTTTGATAGAGTTTGCTTCGCCAAACCACAGCAGCAGCAGAGGGTACACAAGGCTCACAGTTATTCCACAGAGAAACAACTAAACACGGATGCATTTCCCCAAAAGGCCTTTCTGTTACAGTGAGAAAGAGCTGTGGCCAGACGCGAGCTGTTGCAGTGTCTCCTATACATGAGTAAGAACAAAATCAGCGCAGTTGCATTTTATAGTTCCCGTCTACGTGATACTTGAAATGCCGAGCCCTGCCTAACGCACAAGCCATCGTGTCCCACCTGAAGCACTTCGGTCTGTCCTCGGCAGCTGCCTGGCTGCGTTGTGCTGTGGAGACACCCTGGATATGGAAGGGAAGGCAGCCCCAGGCTGTGGCGTGGGCTGGCCAGGACGGCGCGTGCGGAGCTGTCTCCGCTAATTTACTGCGCAGCTGGAGACGGCGGCAGCCCCTGGGCCTGATCCGATGGCCTTTGAGTCAGAGGGAAGGCTCCCACTTGACCTCGGTGGGTGGAAGATTACACTGATGTAGGCAAGCAGTGCTCTTATACATTGAAAGGCATGAGAGGCAGGAGGAAATAAAGTCAAGAATTTCAAATGGGGCTGCAAACGCTCCGTCTTTTTTTCTAATAGTTGTGAAGAGTTTTACCTCCCTGCCCTTCTGACCTTTAGCATAAAGGTACCAGGAAAGTGTTTAAGTTACCATCTAGTGCTTTGGTGCTGAAAAAAAAAATGGTGAGATCCATGCCAAAATCTGGTCGTGAATCTCCAAGATGGAAAAAGTTACACACGGGAAGGCAGGTTACGTAAAGAAGTGTGTCTCCGTGCCCTGTGATCTGGGAACATTAACTGTCAGGATGATGGATGCATGGCTCTCACGTGAGGGCACACATGCTGCATGCAGGCTATGAATGTCAGGTTTAAAAGTGAGACAGGCAAGGAAGCAAGTTTTGAAAAGAGGGAGGAGATCAAAATAATTCATGGAGGAAGGAAAACGTATTATACCATAAACTAGAATGCAAAGGTGAGTGTTGGGAAAAGAGAGGGAAATGCAGATTTCATGTTGAATGAAATCTTCAATGCTAAAGATTATGTCAAAAGAGAGTTGGAGGGAGAGAGACTGAGGGGAGATGTAAGGCTTGGGTAGAAGGTGGGCACAGAGCAGACCTGACAGACACTGTCCAGCTTTTCCAAGCAGAGCTGGGACACTAAAAGCCCCATAGAACTTCAGAATTCCAAACACACCAGGAGAAAGGTCCTCATGTTGGATCAGAGGTTAAAAATCAAGGTTGTAGACACAGTGTTCATGCAGTGTCATTCAGACTTTACCTTTGCCTTTACCTTTACCTCTTCCTATACCTTTACCTCTACCTTTGCCTTTACGCTGGTGATGTTCTATTGCATGTTAAGGGAAAGGGCTGTCACAGCTGTCTCATTTTTAAACCCAGGGGGTTTCCTAGCTTTTAAAATCTCTTTTAAAAAACAGGTGGCTCCCTGTTTTTCAGAGCAAGAGCATGGCAGAAGAGCACTGCAGAATGTAGCAACCTTTAGGCTGTAGAGACTTGGGTCTCAGTTGACCTGAAAGAGATTCATCTTGAGTTTCCTGCTGTTCTCTTTCTGGTAACCCATATTGCAGACTGCACAAGGGGCTTTCTCTTGAGCTCGATATACAGAGTTTCCTGCATTGGACTGTGCTAGTGGAGGCATCTTCACTGAAATCTCTGCTGAGTGAGTAAGGAAGTAGTTACTGTCCAGGAAGCATCATACGGAATCTGTGCACTTGGGGTTGACCCAAGCATCGATCTCCTACAGGTGTGTTATGAGATGAATTGTGATGAATGGGTGGATGAAAAGACTGAGTCATGGTGTAGATAGTCTCAGCCTGACTTGGGGACCTTCTTATCCATCTGAGGAAGTGCAAGCTCAAGATCTCTGTCTACTCTCAGGTTTTTTCAGCCAGGAACAGTTGCCTGAACTGTGAAAGTCTCAGCAGGTTCCCACCTCCTCCCAGCTGCCATTTGGCCCCTTCACAACCCAAGATGTGGGCCTGCAGCGACAGACCCATTCTGCCCTGCCAGAGCAGTTACTTCTGCCACTAAAACTTACCTGATCGTCTCACAGAAAAAAAAAATAGGTAAAAACACATTAAAAACACATTACAAGAGCCAAGGATGCAGTTACAGGAGCCTCCTTGAGGTTTGGGGGTGGTTGCATGGTTCTCCACCATTCCCAAGTGCTAGATGCCTCTGTATTTCTCCCCAGTATATCCCACACAGCTTCTAAACAGCTCCATTCCATTTATCACTTCTTGTTTCTCTGCTTTTAGCTTGCTTATCAGTTACTGATGCTTCCATTTCTTAGTGCTGTCCATCCTCTCCCGCTTTGCCACCTGAGCTCCCCTTCCATCACCTGCCTCCTTCCTTCCTTCAGCAGCCAGCACAGCCATACAGGAGAGTTCACTGAACTTTACTCTTTGCTGCTCTCTTTGAGCTTCCCAGTAAATCTCATTTCTAGTCACACTGCAGTGATATTGACTGCACTGCAGACACACATTCTTTGCTCGAGTTCCTTAATTAGCTTCATCTTTTTTAGTTTGTATAAACCACGTTCACTTCTTATTACATAAACTATTTCTTCTCTCTCAACCACTTGTGGTGCTTCATTTAGTCTCGTTCCAAACCAGAGGGCTAAATTTAATCCCCCACTCCCCATTCAGCTTTCTCCATTTACAGTATTTTTTTTTGGTAATGCTTTTTTTTTTCCTCTTTCTTTTCTTTTCTGTTTTTTTTTCCCTCTTTCCAAGAGGCTGGGCTTCCTTTTCTGTCCATAAACCCTCCTATTTCCCCCTGCCCCCTGGATGCCTGCCTACCTTTACTCTAAAATTCAGAGGAGGATCCAATACGTTTAGTTTGCCAGCTCTTCAGGAGGTATCTAAGGAGGCTGACAGGAGTTGGATGGTCTTTCTTGCAGCCAGTGGCAGTTAATGTGGTCTGCAACCCTCTCTCTCTTTTTTGCCATTCACACACAGTACTTACTCTTCAAGCCTGCTGCTGCTGCTGCCACTGCCTGAAAGGACCTGAACTACCACACAGGGAATTTTGCTTTCTTCTGGAGAACCAGGGAAGAAAAAAGCCAGGAAAACTCATCTGGAGATTGTGAAGAAGACATACAGTAATAGCAAGAAGTGGCAAGTTCTTTCCTTATTAAACGCCGAAAAACACCTAATTTCTCTGCCAGGTGTATGGGACTTAGATTCTCGAAGCAGTGCACTGAACTGTTAAAGGTAATGTATTGCACTTTCCTCTGTCATCTCTCTGATTTTTTTCCTTAACTTTTCTTTTTCTTTCCTCAGTGCTCTAAAGATGCAGGCTCTAAATAAGTGGATTGGTTGTTTCTCTGCTGAGCAGTAAGCGCAGAAATGTGGGAAAAGTTGTTAACTGATTGATCCCAAGCTTCTCTACCAAGTTTCACTTTTGCAAGCAGCGCTCCTGTGAGAGACAAGCTTGTCAGGAATGTGTATGATGTGTGAAGGCTGCCAGAAGTGCTGCCGCGCTCCGATGCCGCTCAGAGCCATGGTCTTCACCAGCAACCGACCCATTAAGGCAAAGCTATCGCCAGAGACAGCAATTCTGTGTCAAATTTACTAGTTCACTTTTGGGAAGGCAGGGAAAGCAAGTTACCTGGCTTTAGAGATTGTATAGCCTGTGCCAGCAGCTGGGAGAGCAGAGAAGTGGCTCTCCCTCTTCTTGCTCCCCAAAAGACCCTCCAAACTCTTTGTATTTCTTGGTGATGGAGCTCAGCTGTCACTTGAGCGCTGGGGACATTCCTGATCCTGCTTCTGAGCACTGGGGAAGGAGGCTGTGGTTTTGCTGATTTGCTACAAATGCCCTAAAATGTTGGGAAGGGGGATTCTCATGTTTCTTGCTTTGAGCATTAGAGTTGTTTTGCTGCAGGGGAGGCAAAGGGTGGTCTGAGCTATAGAGATGTTCAGTTATGGGTCAGGTGTGGCATGTACAGAAAGAGAATGAAAAACGAGCGGCTAGCGGAAGGTTTGACAGCGTGTCCTTGCGTGAGGATCGCAGTGAATGAGTGACTGGGAATTGGCAGAGTCTCTTGGGATACTTCCAGTTAGCTGCTCCGGGTGTTACCAGGTACCTGCCCTCTTTCTGAAGTGATTCACAGATGAAGCTTATTCTTAGCAGTAGTTTGCAGGGAACTGAGCTTTTCTGCAAAAGCAGATGGTGTAAAAATGTTTCATTTTTCAAAATCTCTGCAAGAAATTCCTTCTTTTAATTCATTTATTACTTTTTTAAGGCTTTTCATTTAAACCTTGTACTAAGTAGCAGTCTATTCTCTGTACCGTTATGGAAAGCCCACAGTTAAACCTTTCCTTTTGAGTCGTCTAGCCAAGAACTTCTGTTTAAAAAGGCTTCTTTAGTTTTCTAAAATAACTTTCCCAGATGTAGAGAGGGGGGAACATCCCATGAGGAAATAGTTGGGAGAGAGAGTAATTGTCACTTTTTTATATATAAACTCCAGATAAAGACTGTTCATTAGGGAGAGGAATCAATTATTTGGGGGCTGAGATTTGTGTTTTTTTCCGATCCTGCAGAGAAGGACGATCCCTTGCACTTTCGGAAGCCAAGCTATGTGTTTCTTTGCTTTGATTGTTTGACGTTATATTTTCCTGCTTGATTCAGAGACCGTATCAGCCTGATAGATCAAAGAGGAGATCTTCCCTCTTTCAGAGATGTTTCAAGTGGTTGTCAGAGTGCAGGAGAGAGAGACGTCGTCTCCCACCTAAGCAGGGGCAGAGGGTGAGGGCTGGAGATGTGCCCGTATCGGCTGAGTGATCTCAGCAGCCTGAATGGCCTTTGAGGGAAAATTCCATCTGTTCCACTTGAAGTGCTGTTTAATGTTTCCTATAATCAACTTCACGTACAGTAGCTGGGTTTGACAGCAGCACGAGGGCTGCAGGATGGATGGGCAAAGAGAACTGATGAGGTTGGAAACTGAGGGAGGAAAAGAGATGGAGGGAAATCCTGCTGGAGAAAAAGGGGCACTGAATAAAATTTAGCAGGTTGAGCACTGTCAGAGCAAATTGCAGCTCATCCTTGTAAAATACCATCTAACTAGAGAGGTGTTTGGGTGACCTTCGGTCATTAAGGTGTTTAGAAAGAAGAGGATGTGTAGTGTCACTTAAAGGAATGAGTGAATGTATAAATGAAAAGAGAGGTCAGATTGCTGTAGGCTCTGATATCACCTGGGAATATATAAATGGCCAGAACATCCAGGGACTCCCAAATCCAGTCTATTTTCTCTACAGCTTTCTCTGGGGCAGATCCTCATTGAATGTAATTTGCATCGATCCAGTGACTTCACTGCCTTCCTATGCTGACTTCCACCCAGCGAGACCATGGGCTGGTGAAGGGCCAGCCGGTCCCATTTTAAAAATCAACAGGGCCTTTCTTGGCTGCCTGGAACAGCTTTTCCACTGCCACCTCTCCTCGCTTCTCCCTGTCCCTCTGCAGCGCTGGGAAGGCGGCTCCACCGCAAGGCAGCACATCCAGCCCTCCCGGAGCTGCTCCTTCCCTCCCTCCCTTCCTGCTCCCCCCTTCCCAAGGCCGCTCGGGCCTCCACGTGTGGAACAAGCCGGGCTGTGTGTGCCGTCCACAGGCAGCTTCCCAGCAGCTGCAACAAAAGCCGTGTTCATAGTGGGGCTGGACCACATAGGGAGCCAGGGCGCAGCGGCTGCAGAGCGGCCCTAAATATTAAAAAAAAAAAAAAATACTTGAGCCCAGTGCAACAACGGAAACCTTACAGTTTACTTTTAAAAATTCAGTGCTTCCTTGTGAGAGGGCAGAACAGCTCAGCCTGTGTGCGCGGAGCAGAGCTGCGGGCGCTGTCTGTGTGCACAAGGGAGGGTGTGTGAGTGGCTGCCTCTCCTCCACTCTCAATGGACTTACAGTATAAATCTAAAGAAGCTTTTTGTTGGCCCCATGAATAGGCAGGGGGTTTTGTAATGTTCACCGTGCAGCTTTTTTAGAGACACTTCGCACTGAGATTTTTCCTTCATGAGCTTTTTGTTGGGCTCTCATTTTTAATAAAAGTTTCCATTTCTTCCCTGGGCAACGTTCTGCCTCTCCAAAGATTGCTCAGTAAAAAAACAGAAGAGGTAGGATGGGAGGAATGGTGGGAGATATAAGGATCATTTCACTTTGGCCCCCCAAAAACCTGCGTGCGCTTTGGCTGCTGAAGCACCTGGAGGTGTTAAGTAGTAACACCATGGATGGCCTCGCTTAGATCCCCCTGCTTTACGAGCCCAACCACTGTGTAGCAATCAACTTTAATGAGCTAAACTCCAGCCAGCTTTAGCCCATCAACTGGGACAGCTGGAACTGTGTTATGACCCCCTTAACGAGATGAGTATAAGAGAGATAATGCGAGGCAAGGGGAAGGTTTGGAAGTTCCTGGGATTCTGCTAAGCTGAAGTGCTCTGTGAGCTGTGTCTGCCTTTCCCTGGAACCAACTGAGGAGAAGTTGCTGAGTTTGGGGGCTGAAGGAGCACACTGAGCTAAGGACCCAGGAATGGCTCTGCAGAGAAGAGGAAGCTGGGATAAAGGAAGGAGAAGAGAGTGCCTCTCATGGGAAGTTGTCTGGGCTTTTGTCTTTATAGCAGTTTCTTGGGCTAATCAAGGCATGACTGTCTGTGCCTCTTTCCACATTCTGGTGCAAGCTGCAGAAGAGCTGGGCCTTTGCAGTAGGAGGAACCCTTGGAGAGGCCAGAGTTTAACTTGGATGCTGAGTCCTACCTTGCTCGTTAGCTTCCCACCTTGGTTGTCAGAGATGTCACTGTGTCCTAAGAGTTTTGCAGCTTATGTTGGAAAGTAAGTGTGATCACTGTAAAGGATTCTGGTGATGGGATGTCCTGGGAAGGTCTGGTTGGTCTGGGACTTGTATTTGCTGTTGCAGTTAATGAGTCACTGTGAAGTGTAAACAAGTGGATGGTCCTTGTTGCTACCATGTTACTGTTGAATTGCTTGAGAGCTAGGGATGTTCTTAAGTACCCTGGTGCTACCTAGGTGTTGAACTGAACATCTTCCATGCCCAGCAATGGGCAGAACAGATCCTAGAGGAAAGGTCCTTGGTCTAACATGAAACTGCCTTGGGCAACACAAGGGAAAATGGGCATGTGTGAGGGGAACCACAGTGTTGTACAGACAAAGTGATCAGGACAGGAAATTGTTTCTGTGGAGTAGGGAAGGAAATGCTCATAAGTTAGGCCTGAGAGGAGTAGAACTGTCTATTAAGCCATGCCCAATAAACCTAGCTTACATTAGTGGGAGAATATGGAATGTAAATACTCATGCTTCAAGGCATAGGCTAACCACTAAATGCCTAGTGTTTAAAAAAGCTTCCTCCTCAGCGATTTATCCTGTATTTTTTGATGATGGGAACTTTGCTCGGAAGCTGGTGATATAGACCTTATCCAAGACAGGATATTGGCCTGGGCGCACCATTGGTTTGATCTGGCCTGGATGGACCATTAGTTTTATCTGGTCTGGCAATTTCCTTGCCTCTTTGGCTTCTGAGGTGCCCTTGGTCAGTACTGGCCAGAGGACTTAGCCTTTATTAGCAGTAATGTAAAAACCATGGAGAGACAAAAGATATTGTTGCCACAGAAGATACAGATTAGGCTAAATGGGCAGTGGATGGGAGTAATCATTACAGTTCAAACAATCCTTAGGGAAAACAAGAAATAACCAAGAAGAAACTCCTGACTGAGGTTAGGTTCCTGTCTGAGTAGGGGGGAAATGTGTAAAGGAAAGGTGAAGGCCAGCAGCTGATAAACAGGTGAAAATGTGGTGCCAATCCCTTGCAGCTGGAAACCTCATTTGTCATTCACACACCTGTAGCCCACAGCAAAACCTGTTACTCCTGCTGGGATCTTGCACAGATTCAGGATTAATACCTTTCCATGGCCCTGCAAATCTCCTGTTGCTGCAGGCCCTTGCGCAAGGTAAGGGCAGATGTAGTAGCTTTGCTGGCATAAACCTATTGACTCTGGAGGATTACGGTGGATTAATGGTACTCTGGTACAGCAGCAGTAGATCTGAGCATAATTAACGTTACGTCATCTGTGCCACGGTTTCAAGGTTGAAATAATCACGTAGTTCACATATTGGAAATTGCAGGATTGTTTCCACATAAATGATTAACTGCTGCTATTACTTACCCCCAAGAAAAAACAGTTTCTGTGGTGTTTGGTGTATAAATAATGCC